AAGCGATAAACAAAGCCATCGCCACCACGAAGACATTGAACGACATATACCTGTGGGGTGTCCCTCAAGACAATGCTTACCACTCGTGATCTCCAACAGCGGCAATGGATGTGAATCTAACGGATCTGGACGTGGGGTGCGAGCCATCGGTGGTCCCACTCGTGTTGGATGTGCTCTCCTATGCCTCCCAGTCATCACCAAAGATACAGAGTTTAGGTCTTCTACGCGACGGCGAGACACTCATCAAAGCCATCTCAGCCTTCGAACGGCAGACCCGGTGGCAGTCCTCCCGTGTCATCGACCTGTACTTCAAGTACAAGAACGACGCCATCCATGGCTACGCGTTCATCGACGGCTGGCTGGACGCCTACTACGGCGCCAATCAAGTGATAGTCACCGACGGGTTCCGGTTCGCCGGCAACGATGATGTGCTGGCGGTGGCGCTACTCGTGCTGAACGTGCTGTACGTGCAGAGGGTGTCACTCGCCTATGATCTCAAGACTCGGTTGGAGGCGCTGTGGGTGGACGCGGGCGCGCCGGCAGACGCGCTGGTCGTACGGCTCCGGACCAGAGCTCAACTCAATGATAGTCATCCGGGTCTCCACTCGTGCGCACACCAGCTCTTCTCTGGTCACTCCCTACAAGAATTTCAGTCCATTCAGCAACGACTCACTCAAATGGTATGTCTGTGTATCACCTCTACCTGTTAGACACTACTCACTCATGAGTACCACTATTATCACTACTTGTATTGATATACTGATGAGTATTACCATTGGGTTGGTGTCCATGAGTACCAGTTTTGTCACCGTTTAGTTCTAGTGTATAATTATACCACTTTTACCACTACTTGTATACGAGTGAGTTTAGCACAGATTATGCCCTCATGTGTACCCATTTTTACCACAGTTTCTACTCATGAGTGTTACCACCTCTTAGTGTCTATAAATACCAGTTTTACAGCCATTGCATAAAATAGTACCACTTTTAACATCTCTTGCGCTCATGAGTACCCACTTTTACCACCACTTGTATGATATACTCGTGAGTTGGCCACTGATGGTGTGCCTCATGAGTACCACTTTTAAGTACTATATCTAATGGTGAACTCATTATCACCCGAAGGCTCAGCAAAAGCTCATCACCGACCAGATGAAGAGGTTGGACGAGAAGGAGATACTACTGAGACGACAGTCGCAGGAAATGGCGGATTTGGGCGCAAAGATGTTGGCGCTGATGGCGGAGGTGACGGACTTGAAGCAGACGAACGCCATACTCACCACTGAAGTCAAGTGGCAGATGAGTGCCGCCAAAGAGCTCAACCAAACGGTGGCTAAACTCGAACACGAGAACCGAGTGCTCAAGCAGTTGGCGCTCCGGAACAGCTCATACATCCTGAACGGCATCGTCGGCAACGAGTCAGACACCGGTGCGACGACTACCGGTGCCGCCGCAGACATATCAAGACAGGGATCCGTTGCGACCGCCGGCGACGACAACGACACGAGTGATTCGGTGAGCGATACGGACGTGGCGTTCAAGAGGTTGTCGCTGAGCAGCGATAACCACCCGAAGGCCAGTGAGGACACGGACTCGTCCACTGAGATCGAGGACATCACCGACAGTGGCAACCATTCAGACGCGGCCACCGACGACCTGTTGCTCGAGTTGTGTCAACCGCTGGTGACCGTCGCCGCCAACGAGGAAAACAATGCAATTAATGGTAATGAGAGGAATGGGAGGAACGGGAGCCGCGATGACAGCGTACGGACACTGAACTCGTGGGAGGAGTTCTTCGCCAACGATAGCAATAATACGACACAAGACGTGATGAGCGCCGGGAGGGAGGAGACGGCGACGACTGTCCACACAACCGATACTTACCATAAATCTAATCAAAGTTTGGGTACAAATGATAACAGGATTTCCGCATTAATACTGAACTGAAACCGCAAAACAAAACCCATTTTTATTATTATTATTTGAAAAACTCTTTTAAATCCTTTTTTTTCTTAATATTTCTTAATATTCACAGTATTTTCCGAATGAGAAAAAGTAAACAAATTTTTAGGATTTTTATCGCAATATTAATACAAATATTTTTTTTGGTCGTATTTTTCACACTCTTTTACCGCAATTTTTACCGTTTATTTCCATAAACTTTCCGTTCAATTCAGTCAAACATATGAATACTTTTTTGTTAATTAACTATTGAATTATGAAAAATACAAATCAAAATCGTATGACTATAACACGAAAAAAGTGCACTTATATTATATTTACAGTATAATTATATTATATATACCTATACTATATGTCTTATTTGAAAATTATTTTTTAAGTTCCTATAAATCTATTATAAA